GTTGTGTTCGGTTGGCCTGCTCGCCTAGCAGCCAGCGGGGTGACGGCGAAAATTGAGGCTAAAACAATGTGCGGCACGGAAACGTGAGCATTGCGGCCAGCAACGTTACAAGCGTTTGATAGCCTGCCTGCTGCTTGCCAATCCAGGTAATCCAGGTAATCCAGGTGAATAGCTATCGTACTCAGTGGAAAATTTTGCGTGAAGCTTGTTCCAACTGCAAAGAGTCTACCTTATGCTGTAGACCGGCCATCATACTGGCGTGCTCGTGTTGTTCCTCGGTGTTCGCATCGATACGGCGTCGGAAACTGCTCAAATCCCCCTGCACACGATCCAAACTTCCCGTTGATCCGGTCGATAACAGCGTCTCAGAGCTGATCGCCGTGTCATAGACCGACGTCATGTTCAAACCACCACCAGCAGCAGCCGCACCAGTTGCAAGAGACAGAGCAGCAGCCCCAGCTCCACCAGTAGTTAGTGCTCCACTGGTTAGGACTCCGCCAGTCAATGACCCGCTGAATTTATCAAGTGGTGAATCTATCAAATCTCGTTAAATCCCTCTGAGAATCCCCCTTTCTTTTAGAATTTCCACTGGATTCTACAGCACCCCCAAAGTTTTTTGACGAGGGTTTTCATGAAGGCTTATCAGGCTTCTCCTTCAACTCTCTTTTCTTCGTTGTTTCCGTTTTTAGTTTCGTGTTTCCAGACGATTTTTCCAAATGGTTCCAAGAAACGGGGGAATTTTTAAGAATTTGAGAAATATTTTCAGACGAATGGCAATTTGGATGAACTGAAGTAAATGGAACAGTAATAGGTCTGTTCAAGTGCTCTATTTTTTGACTATTCGAACGAAATGTTGTGATAGTCAAGTATTTTGTTTGTTTCTAGGAGAAATTGTGCTGATTTGTGGGTGATTTGTTTGGGTAAGTGGGTAACTCCAGTAATTTCGATATCTAGTATTGAGTGTTTTCCCAGATGGGACTAGAAATTCCGCATTTTTTAGCCAAATCAGTTATCTCTCAGTCAGCTGTTTGCTTGGTCTCTGCATTGTGATTTTATATGAGCAAACAAAATTTCGATTTTTTCGATCATCCACCTTTCGTCTGTTTATTCGCCAAAAAATGGCAAGACAGCAAAATTTATACGATCGCTTTTTGCGGTTTTATTAGGGATCCAAATTTTTTAATGGATTTATCTGAGATTCGTGATTAGATATGGATGTTGACTGCTGGTTGGATGTAGCTGTGCAAATATTTATTTATCCAAAAATTTATTTTTTGGAAAGCAAAGGGTTTATCCGGTGATCTCAAAGCTAACAGATTTATCCGGTGAACTTTTTTGAGCGCATTAGAACACAGCAACAGCTGATTGATGTAGTCAGAGCCCTTGGGCTTGAAAGCGCATCAACTAAATGGCTGAATAAATAATTTGCTATGAGCCAATTGATCTGATGCCTAGCTGATCTGATCGGATGTTTTGTGAATGTTAATGGCTTAATATAGCATTCGGCTTAATAACTCATCGTCAATCCCAAATAAAAGTTTCCTTTCGAGAATGTGACTCAAACTAGCCACATAATGCATAGCAGCGGACTGGATCTTGGCTTAACGAGAGGCGGAGGGGGTCTTGTATGGATGGAACTCTACTGAGGTGGACGACAGCGCTCGGAAAGGTTCACTTTAGATCAGTTGGATCGGTCAGATAATGATAATTTCTCGTCAGATAATCAGGCTTCAGATAATTTAAGGTTAAATTTTACCCGTAGCCGAGGGTTCCGGCTTCTTCAGCACCAGAGACTGAGCTGGTGCCATAGTTAGAGCGGGTCACGACGGTTCGTGTAATACGCTTCGTAATATCGGCGCTTTCGCCTGCAGTAGTGCCTTCCATTGTGTGTCTGTCTGCTCGAGCCTTACAAGTGAGCTGAAAACAAATTTTCAGTCATTTCCTAAAATTCGCTTGAGATGGCAGATAGCCGATAAGCGTTATTTCACGTGAATGTTATCATTTCGAATGTTGTGCTGCTTCCGACAGTCACGGACGGATAAATCAACGCGTATCATCGTAATCACAGCAATGAATTTTGGCATTTTATCCTAAGAAATCTCCCTGGTTCTATGTGATGTGACCAACTTTAGGTTCAACAAAACATTTGCTTTCCTTCTAGGATCTTGTCTTATATCCTCCAAAATCTACAGCTTTTTCATACTACTTTTCAAAATTTTCAAATGATTCCTGAAAACCGGATGAATCGCTTCCCGTCAAAATGAGCTAGCTTGCAAATGAAACTTATGATGCCAGTGGAAAGCGAGATAGACAAGAGGCAATGACCTTTGCTGTCACACCAAGCAAACAAATTAATTAAAATGTTTCAATGTTTTGATAACTTTTTTTGATCGAATCAAGAAGGAATATTTTAACTGCTATCGAATAACACCCATATTTCACTAGCCAAATGCCTGTTGCAGTTGTAATGAAACGAACTGTGACGGTTTGAATAGTTCCAAGAAAAAAATTCAAGAAACGCGATTTCAAGAAAAGCGAATGCTGTTTTGTTTTTCTGTTTAAGAATGTTGTGCCGTCTCAAAAAAATTTTCACATTTTCATTTTTACAGCTTTTTTGCACATAAAACTTCTCGATATCTCGATATTTTCAAGCAAACGCAAGTACTCTCGACTGCATCACACTTTGTTTTAGTGTTATGCTATTAATTAATGAGTAATTGATGTTTTGAACGAACGGCACCAGCACCATGACTAATGACTTTGATATCAGTTGGAGATGAAGATAAATCGTCCATTTTACACCAAGAATAGACAAGTGAGAGTGGGTGATAGATGTGTTTTTTTTAAGCAGATGTTGTTGATGTTAGTTAGGCTGACTCGTTTCCGAGAGTGCAAGCAATCAAAACAAACTAGTAAAACTACCATTAATTAATTGAACACTCACGATCAGGGTGCAGGAAGGAGCCGGGATACGGGATTGGATTCTTTCAGCATTTTCCCGGTCTAAGGGAAGGGAAGAAACAAAATAAGCAAGAGAGTGCTTAGGGAACGAGTCTCAAATTTGGCCTTCTCACATCAGATTTTTAAGATTCCGCATTAGAAACCCGCTGAATGCTCTCAGGAAAAGATTTCCTTTCCCGTTAGTCATTGATATATTATATGTTATTTTGCAATTCGTTCCGAAAATTTTTGAGAACTCATCAGATTTTCCTACGGTAGATGCTGCTTTCTCTATCAGTTAGTATTCATTAGTGCTGCCTGCTCTTTCTCAGTAAACCTATTCTCCTTGTCCTTTGATGAGTCTTTGCAGAATCTTTTTTTGGGATTGGAAGGAGACCTTCTCAAATAGCGATTAAAAGTTCACCAGCAAAATCAAAGTCTCTATTGAATGAATCGGATCAATTCGATCACGTTAAACTCCTTTGAATCCACAAACTGTCCAGCTTATTGTGATTGTTTTGCCACTAGTTCTGCATATAAAAATGAACATTCGAATATCACCCCCTCAAATTTTGTTGTATTTGTTTGATGAAATTGAAATGCAGCAAGCAGCAGCATCATCATCGTCTATTCAACTTTATTTGATGAATTTATTTGATTTGCTGGCTATTTTTAGTGCTACTGATGCTAAATAATACGGGCGATCATTCCAAAAGCCTTTCGTATCTCGACAGAAACTCAAAAATCATAACACAAAACAAAAATCAGTGACCAAACGTCATACTAATAATAATAATAATAATAATAATAATAATAATAATAATAATAATAAGTAGTGAAATGCATCAGTGTAATGTATTTATAACTAAATGAATAACGAACGAGAGAGAAGCGCTCGAAAAGAGTGCTGCAGCAGCAGCAGCAACAGCAATAGCAGCCATATTTTTCGAATGGTTTTCATTTTCCATCATTCCGTTTGTGATTTCATTGTAATATTGTGCGTTCGAACACAACTACTTTTTACAAAAGCACTACAATACGCAATAGAGTGAATGCAAAAGCACGAAATTCGACAGCGCCAGAGGAGAGTTGACTGAAAAGAGCATGAGAACAACTGAGACCGAAGACGAATAAGCACAGAAAAGAGTACGAGAAAACAATATAGGACAGCGATAGCTAGAGATAGAATCTACGAGAGTTCTAGTAAAATAAATTAAGAGCTGAAAAAATCGCTGCTATTATGTGTTCTGTTTTGCGTTTATTTTACTGTTCTATCAGCAAAATAAAGGTGTGATATATAGATAGATAAACCGTNTGTGATATATAGATAGATAAACCGTAATCGAGTGGGAACATCATCGGAAATTGATTTCGCAATGGATTTATATTTAATTCTGTGATGATTCAAACGATTTGCGTGCTTTTTTTTGGAGAGGCGAGAGCGTTTGGATTTTCATGATGCTTGTTAAAGATAAAGAAAAAATTCATCTAATCTACAGCGATTCTAAAACCAACTATCGAGAAGCAAATTCAAGGATGCGCCTAAACTGAACTATAGGACTGGAAGAGGTGGAATGCAGGTCGGGATGTCGAGGCAGCCAACTACATCGATCTCGCCGAGGCGCTGGTGAATTACGGATTGGGAAGTGAGCAAGAAATACCCCATTGGATGATATTTAAATGTTCAGTACGGCTATCCGGTCTCACCCGAACAGTGCAGTTGAACTATCCGAGTACAGACAGCCACCTGTCTAGTTTTGGATGTACTTCACAAAGCCCTCACTAAATCATAAGCTTCATCCTCATGTCAAACACACGCTTGCCTTGTCAATTGGTGTGTTTGTATTGGATGCAAACAGCTAATAGAATGAGCAAATAATGATCTTAACATGATAAAGCTGAGAATAAACA